CTATCGCAGTTCTTGCTTGTGGAACTCTCTTCCGGTTTATAGCTTTCCACTAAACTTTGATCTTCAAAAATTTAAGTGCAATTTTAATCTTTTTTTTTTCTGTCTTCTTAATTCTTGTTTTATTGTCCTCTCTCCTTACTATTACTTTTTCTTCGTAGTCTCTAACACTCTATAAGCCCTTGCATCTCAATGGCTTTATTGCCTTGCTTGGGGTGAAATGATTTTAAAAATCGTGGAGCCGAGTTTAAATACTCCTGGGAAAGGTGTGAGTTCGTCTCGTCTTACACCCCCATCTATGTGTTGAACAGCAGAACAGACTGGATCCTATAGTCTTGGTTAGCAACCAGTCTACCAGAAAGAAAGAAATGGCATAATGCCTAGTCAGTTATCAGTCGAAAGAGATGATCGCCCAAGCGTGAATCGCGTACGGATGTTTAATTGACTGCCTTCGAACAAATCCTAAGCAACTCCACTTTGAACACCCAACAGAATGTTTTTCCTTAATATTTATGTTGAAACTTGACTAATGCATGGAATAATAATGCAACACAAAATGTACTTAGAACAAAATGTATTGAAACAAGAAAATGTACACAATATTTACATATAGTCTTTTGTAAATTCCTGGTAAGACCGTTCCTGGAGAATGTGTTGACTGAGTCGCAGTCGGGCAGAGTGTCTGGTTGAATCTCTTGATTCCTGTATTTATCTATCCACCCACGAGGATAAAATGTGGCACAAGGCCGGTTTAAAATGGGTATCTCCGAGCCCGCAGGCTTGGCCAAAAATATAGCCTTTCTGTACCCGCTTAGACGGGTTCAAGGCCTGTCTACCACCCCGGACGAAACCCTGCCTCTCGGCAAAGCCTCGTCCGGGTCCCTCACTGCAAAATGCAGAGAGTTCGACTGAGAGTAAATCTCTTGATTCCTCCCTCTCTTCCCGGTACCAACCATATTTATATGGTCGGTACTCCACTATGCAAATTAGGTGGATCCTACCACAACAATTTACCAAGTGGCAACATAGCTTTCCGAATATCTCTATGAAATAACTACAACGGGTTTCTGTTTTTAGTCATAATATTTGTGTGAATTACAAGCAGTTTGATTTGTTTCAGTTATGTGCAATACAATCATGTATCTTTTGATACATGACTGACGAGGCAGATTTTTCCCGTATAGTAGGTTGCCATTTCTTTCGGCGTTATATCAGTTGCCATCCAGGGCTATAGAACCCGGTCTGTCCTGCTATTTACCCATAGCTGAGGGGAGAAGAGGATCCATATCTTTCTCCAAGTGTATTAGCACGTAAATGAATATAATCGATTCGACTGGAATTTGAACTCGGCTCTCCGATTCCTCACTCAGAGCCGCTATCGATGACTCTACCGTGCCTCTTCTTGATTTGTTTACTCAAAGTAAAACGAAATTTTCGGAATGGTTAAAATGACTGAACATTAGTATAAAAATGCTTTTCTATATAAGGAAAAGGAGTTTGTATTAATAAACGTTTACCTATGCTGTGACAAATGACGTTATACATGAAGTGATCAAAAAGTATCGGGACTGTTGCTATGGTCACGGAGCTAAAATACATAGATTGAAGCTGCTCAGCACAGATGATCCTTGAACTGTGTTGCGTATACACACTAAGTATGTTCTTGCTTACTTCGGTCATTTATTGGAGGGCTTGGAAGGAAAGTGTGTAGAGTGTGGTCGTCTCACCACATCAGTTTCTAGTCGAGTTGTTTCTTTCGTTTGTTTTCTCTGTGACGTGATTATTTTCTTCCATGAATCAAAAATTCCTCATTTATAAGGTGAGCTGTTCCAAACGACATTTGTATTTTTTATTTTTACAGTGAGGGTCACCATGTACAAGGTCCGCAGATCCACTCGAGATAGAGGGTTAAAAAGTAAGAGGTCCAGTTTATGCGAATGATAACCCTAGACTTGAACAGGTTAAGATTGCGATGATCGGAGAAACATCCTCTTGGGTGTCCGTTCCACAGAGCAGTGGTTCGCGGGAAGAAGCTATTCGAGTGGAATGTACTACACGGAGGGACTGAGTTGTTTGCTACAATGGGCGTAGCATGGCAGGTCCTAGTCGTGAAGGATAAAACGGGCGGAACTAATTAATGTAGTTCGTCTGAGCACATTGTATGGAGCAGTGAGAGTATTGCCACGTCCCATCTGGTAGAAAAGTGTATGTGTATAGCTGGCCAATCGTATTCGTTCAGGCGGTTAGCTAATCCCTATTGTAGACACAGGCGCATTTGTGTTTATTCAACACCCACAGAGCCCACCTGTGGTTTATAATGCAACTATGTTAAGCAAACCTTAGTTACAGTTTCAGGGAAAGAGCGTTTTATCTAGCGTAGTCAACAATTTAAACAAGGCCAGCACGCCTCGGACACGATGACTTGTGACAGCTACCCAATTTCAGTCACAAGGCTTGGGTAAACTCGTGGTATGGTTTTCAGGCACTTTCCAAGTCACCTTCTTGACAAATCGTCCATGGTGAGATTTGAACACGGGTCTCATGGTCAGAAGTCGAACGCTCTAACCACTCAGCCACGTGCCCAAGTGTAAGCCAGTGCAATCAATAAGACTGTCTGAGTTTCTGAAATGAAGAGTTATCATTATTTACATTATTTACACGCTGGTTATTGTCCTCATCTTTGTTAGAGTTTGTGGCTTTAGTCGGAATATTTATGTAGATTACAGTTTTATTTGTTTACTCAAAATAAAACGAATTCTTTTTTTCATATTTGAACTTTGAAAACTTACAAATTAATCTCCTAATATTGGGCTTTTAATTCGGTTTTTCAAAAAAAAAAAAAAGATCTTTCTTTATCTGATAAAGACCAGGAAAATTGTTGTCGCTGTCTGATTTTGTTTTTAGTTTAATCGAAGTAATTTCAAATGTAATCCTGTTGTAAAGATCTTCTGAAAAAACGGAAGTATTGGGTTGTGAGATAAATTCTTTAGTCTTTTTTTTTCATTTATTTTAATCTTATTTGTGGAGTAAATGGCCATGTTGACAATTGACAAAATTCTCAACAAGCAGATTTGACTAAGTTCGCAATATACCATAAGAAAAAGAAAAAGAACATGGCAAAATAATACAAAACCAACGATATATATATATATATATATATATTAAAACCAACGATATATATATATATATATATATATATATATATATATATATATATATATATATATATATATATATATGTATGCAAAAACTAAACAAAACATCAGTAATAAGGCAAAAAAGTTCACAAAGTAAGAATTATTCCGAGGCAAAAGGTGTAGTCAAGAAGTTATAGTGTCTCATTCAACACCGATGTGGCTTTGAAAAAGTTCTTTGATGAAGTCTTCTAGTCAAGACCTGGTGATTTCTATCGTCAAGGTATTCAGAAACTAATGGAACGTTGGCAGGAAGTCATGAACAATGAAATAAATATATTATAGATTGGTTTCTTAAAATTGATTCATCGATCGATTGATGGATTGATCCGTTTTCTGCGGCTTATTGCAGGTTGTTTAAAACCATAAAATATTTTTTTTAAATTTAGATATTTTGGGGAGATCATAATTGTTTAATGATACAAGTCTTACTAATTAATCCATACCTTGGGGGGCGGAGAAGAGTTGGATTCATACTTTTCCCCAAGGCTATTTGCGCGTACGTGGATATAACGAACCCAACTGGAACGGGATCTCGGCTCTCCTATTAACAATTTCGAGCCATTACACATTACACCACCCGCACATCTAAGTTTACGGCACCTGCTATTCCCAAATGGTCACCCATGTAGGCACTTCGGTAATCTTACGTGAACCGGTGTTTCAGAGTTGTATGGCAGTGATCCCTTGATTCATCGAGTCACGCTTTCAACGCCACGTAGTTGATGAACAAAACACCTGGGAAACTGTCGGAAAGCGACTGAAAACATGGATCGTCTAATGACGCTGAAAGCAGATGACAACAGTCGGTGCGATAGACCATCTCAAACAAGCTCTTGAATAGGGAAATATTTAGTGGGGGGGTCAAATTAGAAACATGGATGCGAGCTTTGTCGTATTGAAGAAGCAGATAATACTCATTCGTGTCTACTCGATAATTCACCGTCACACACACACACACACACACACACACATATATATATATATATATATATATATATATATATATATATATATATATATATATATATGCATGTTTCATTAAAACGACAGACAAGGTACTACGGTTGAGCTTTTTATTTAATTTTTCTTGTGTTCTGACAAGAGCTTTTTTTCTGGACAAAGGGTGTGTAAGAACTGTCCGAATGTTCTATATTTCCGAGTGCTTTCGGCTATACCTTTAGCCATTATCAAGGATGATTCGATTATCAGCTTAGTAAAGTGTGTGTGCATTCTGTGTATGTTCAGTGTGTGGTAGTGATGTTTTTACTTTCCGAATACGGTTAGCACATTATGGCTTTGTTCATAGTTAATATATATATATATATATATATATATATATATATATATATATATACAAGTAAAATTCAATCTTTATTCAAAAACGGCAAACATAAGTAATACAGGACGGAGAGAGATACACAAATCGTCGAGGAAGGAAAGTGCTGCATTAGAGAAAGAAGAGAGCTATACAAGTCGTAGAGGGGCGCCTCGGCGTGGTGTAATGGTTAACAAGCTGGTCTTGCTAAAACTGTCACAAATGAACAGTGAGTTCGATCCTCACTGGGTGCCCCATACTTTCGGTCATGTGCCACATCTAAGTCTCGCTTAGAAAATCAATACAATTGTAGAGAAAGGAGAGACCTACACAAGTCGTAGACGAAGGAGACTGCTACACAAGTCGTAGGCGAAGGAGAGAGCTAGATATATCGTAGATGAAGGACAGTGATACACATGTCGTAGAAGGAGAGGGCTACATAAATTGTAAGGGAAGGAGAGAGCTACACAAGTCGTAGACGAAGAAGAGAGCTATACAAGTCGTAGACGAAGAAGAGAGCTACACATGTCGTAGAAGAAGGAGAGAGCTAGATATATCGTAGATGAAGGACAGTGATACACATGTCGTAGAAGGAGAGGGCTACATAAATTGTAAGGGAAGGAGAGAGCTACACAATCGTAGACGAAGAAGAGAGCTATACAAGTCGTAGACGAAGAAGAGAGCTACACATGTCGTAGAAGAAGGAGAGAGCTAGATATATCGTATATGAAGGACAGTGATACACATGTCGTAGAAGGAGAGGGCTACATAAATTGTAAGGGAAGGAGAGAGCTACACAAGTCGTAGACGAAGAAGAGAGCTATACAAGTCGTAGACGAAGAAGAGAGCTACATGTCGTAGAAGAAGGAAGGAAAGAGCTAGATATATCGTAGATGAAGGACAGTGATACACATGTCGTAGAAGGAGAGGGCTACATAAATTGTAAGGGAAGGAGAGAGCTACACAAGTCGTAGACGAAGAAGAGAGCTATACAAGTCGTAGACGAAGAAGAGAGCTACACATGTCGTAGAAGAAGGAAGGAAAGAGCTAGATATATCGTAGATGAAGGACAGTGATACACATGTCGTAGAAGGAGAGGGCTACATAAATTGTAAGGAAGGAGAGAGCTACACAAGTCGTAGACGAAGAAGAGAGCTATACAAGTCGTAGACGAAGAAGAGAGCTACACATGTCGTAGAAGAAGGAAGGAAAGAGCTAGATATATCGTAGATGAAGGACAGTGATACACATGTCGTAGAAGGAGAGGGCTACATAAATTGTAAGGGAAGGAGAGAGCTACACAAGTCGTAGACGAAGAAGAGAGCTATACAAGTCGTAGACGAAGAAGAGAGCTACACATGTCGTAGAAGAAGGAGAGAGCTACACAAGTCGTAGAGGAAGAAAAGCGCTACAAGTAAATAAAACACTATGGCAAGAATAATGATTTTCTAAACGTAGTTTAGATGGGGCCAAATGCCGAAAGTATGTGGCACCCGAACTCACTATTCAGTAGCAATTGTTTTAGAGGGACAATCATGCTAACCATTACACTGTCTCAAGGTGCCCTAAAATAAGGTGACTTTCTAAGCGTGGCTTAGATGTGGCACAAGAACGAAAGTATGGGGTACCCAGTGAGGATAAAACTCACTACGAAGTCGTAACTATTCTAGCGAGACTAGCTTGCTAACCATTGCACCACATCGAGATACTCCGCTCCGGCAAGAATACTTGGCGTGTTTATTCAAATGACATTGGAAAAGAAAACAAATTTATGACCCACCACTACTTTATCTGACACCCCATTAGATTATTTTACATCCCTACGAATTTATCTGACAGCCCAATGACACCGCAGTAGGAGATAAAATATATATATATACAAAAATGTTCTATGTATCGTGTCCCATCATCAACTTGATGACCATTGTTCTCCACAACTTCCTGCACCGTTTAGTAAATTTTGTTTTTTGCTATCTCTCCAAAACCCTGTTCTGTCATCCACAAGCACGTTCTTTTTCTTCTTCTGTGTGTCATGTTCCTTCAGCACGTTGGTGATCAGGGCTCTCCACAATTTCCTGTCCGCTGTAACTGTTAATAATTTTTGTCTTTTCGTTATCTCTCCTAACCCTTGTTCAGCTATTCATTTACTTAAGTTCGTTTTTTTTTCTGTGTGGAGTGTCCCTACAGAACGCTGGCGATCATGGCTCTCCATACTTTCTTTTCCTTTGTAGCTCTTAGTAAATTTTGTCTTTTTGCTATATCTCTTAAACCCTGTTCTGCTATCCATTTGCATAAGCTCGTTCTTTTTCTTCTTCTATGTGCAGTGTCCCTTCAGAACGATCATGGCTCTCCACGATTTCCTGTCTTTTGCAGCTTTGATAGACAGAGTGACAGATAGGTATGAACAGACTGAGACTAGATAGATAGATAGATAGATCCGAAGAAAAAAAAAACACTAATTATTGTCAGCGTACTCTTCCCTACAAGGAGGTACATCTATTCTTAAATCAACTTGAGACGAGATTTCCCACGAGATTTGAACTAAAAGCAACTTCCGGTACTAGATTAATTTTGAATGCCAATTTAATCCTTACTACTTGAACGAGACAAAACGAAATTAAAACTGCATTAAATTGTCCCTTCTCTGCGTCCTGGTAATTGCATATTATAGAATTTAAACTACGCATTATATGAAGGATGTGAAAGTTTTTACATTTAGTCCGAATAATCATTTGCAAAAAACTAATATATAAGCATTCTTTCCCATCACAAATTTTGTACGGAAAGCATGTTTATGGTCATAGCAAAAATGAAATTAGGAATCATTCGACATTCATTGAACGAAGAGTTAGTATTGCTGTTGTTTGAAAAGTATTGTTTATAAAATCTTTTTAAAATCTTTTTTCGGCAAATTATCAAGTCCACTAACTGTTATAGCCCCTTCTAATACTAAGCGGAATTTTTAATCGAATTTATTCTAAGCAAGGCAGTAACACCACTAAGACACAAGAAATTGCTGTGTGTGAATGAATTAGTAAAAAACATTATGAATGATTGAGAATAATAGAAAAGTAATCAAGAGGACAATAGATTTAAATTTTTGAAGATCAAAGTTGGCCGGAAGGTATGGAGCCGGAAGAGAGTTCCAAAAGCGAGAAAATAAACAGTTAGCATAAAACCTACGGTTATATCGTGTCAATTCAATTGATGAGGATTTATTGCCAATCTAGTGCTACGATTAAATTCATAAATTATACGTACAAGAGCTTATCCGAACAATTACAATTAAAGTATTATTTTTTTATAAAAATGCTCAGGAGTTTACATTACAGTCATGGAAAAATGACCGAGCCATAATGCCAGGTTAGGACCAGTTTTCTTCCATTCTTTTTTTTTTTTGTTAATGGTGATGGTGAAAATAGCCGTTTCCATACAGCAAATATTCGACAGTCATTGACCGAAAAGTTAGCATTAGTGTTGTTTTAAATTTGTAGAATATTTTTCTTTATCGGCTTTTCGTGAAACCAGACTTTTCAAATATAGTTACCGCTCTTTCTAATACAGATGCGAGTTTCCTTCCAAACCTTTTGTTTAAAGTTAAGCGCAAAGTCAACATCTTGATGATACTATTATGTTCCTTTCTAGTTACAGGGACAAATCAATTTAGTTGTTACAGCAGTTGAAATTCTTTAAGTTGTTTTCTAATAATTTCTCTCCAAGCAAGGCGATAAAGCTACTAAGACGCCACTACAACATGACCCCTATTGTCAAGAGGACAGTGTGTTGCAAAGCACGACAGGGCTCCAGAGTAGATAAGGAACAAATAAGTATAAAAAAAAAAAAGTGTACGTTAGAATTACTATGGAAATCAGTAGAGAATTCTACTAATTTGACTGAAAGGTTGAACAATTGAGAAATTCTCAATTGGGAAAGTCTGGATACTGGCCAGATCGATGGTATTAAAATGAAGAAGTTACTTCACACGATGATCATTGGAGCGCCAAACACAAAGATATTTGCAGAAGAATGTAGAGATGGTTTGTTTCACGGCATATCAAACTCAATGGATTATTTAATACTGACAAATTTTTTATTGCTGGTAATTTTTTTCCCCAAAAAATGTATTGCTGGTAATATCTTTTTACTTTTTTCAAAAATGTATTGCTGGCAATTATTTTCAAAAATGTATTGCTAGTAATATATTTTTTAAAAAGTATTTCTGGTATTAAAACCAATTTTTACACTTTCATAGTAATCTGACCCAAGTTTGGGTGTTCACTATTTGCCCATAGCTGGGACCCTAACAGGTGCTACCACCCCGAGTCAGGATGGACCTGGGAACACCAGCAATTAAGAGGTGGTTCAACGTTCCTCAAAACCTCCTGATCAGAGGCCTTGCTGTTGAACGTAGTTTATCGTTTTACCCAGGACGCGGATGTAATTTATCGTCATACCCAGGACGGAAGAATATAGAGAAATAGAGACATTTCTATATTGTTATATATTCTAACAACCAACAGTCCTGAGAAGAGGGGGAACGATAAAACAAGAAGAGATAAGGAACATAGTTTAATAGTAAAAACAGAAGCACATATCAGAGCAATCCGGAGTCTCACCATTCGCTTGCTAGTGAGACATTCTCCTGAACATAGACATCAAGTGGGTGTATATGCACCCAAGAATCATTACGAGATAGACAGATAGAAACGGATAATTCATTGATGGAGACTGAGGAGTTTAAGTTAGTTTTACAGAGACCTTGGATATCTGGAGAGCGTTCCAAAGAGAAAAGATTCTACACAAGAGAAATTTGTACGGATACCACGAATGTTACCGAAAAATATGTGCCGGTTCGTAAAACGGGTGAAACACGTAGAAACGAGAAATATTGCCGGCAAAACGATGAAATTCATAGAGAATATGCACCGTATGCGCCCAGCACTAGTCAACATAAAAGATGCAATCCTCTTGGACGACAATGCTCGGTCACATGCTGCTCAACGAATGCTACAGAAATTGAATGTATTACTCCTCATGGGTTAATGCCGGAATTTAATATTCTTGGGAATATTAGTAATTTCTTTTACAAAAATGTATTTCTGGTAATATTTTTTCTTACAATAATATATTGCTGGTAATTTTTTTTATTTTTTACAAAAATGTATTTATGATAATTTATTTTATTTTATTTTTTTTTACTATGGAAATGGTATTGCTGGTATTTTTACTATAATTGTTTTATACTTTCATCGTGTTTTGACCTAGTTTGCTGGTTAACTGATTTGCCCATAGCTGAGACCTTAACAGGTGCTACCAGCTCGGCTCAAGATGGACCTGGGAAAACACCGACTCATCCACCTTACTCACCTGACCTCGCACTAATTGATTTTTAAATATTTGGACAACTTTTACAAGGTAAGTTAGTTCAGTGTGTCGGCTTAGACAATTTTTCTCATCTGAATCTATCTTATATATTTATAGGACTATCATTCGTTCATGCTTTGAATATTGCTGCCTATATGGTCCGATGATCCTGATGTATACTTAGAGAATCTTGATAAAATCCAAAGAAGAATCAGTAATATTATTGGACCTGACTTGGCATCTCGGCTTCAGTCACTTTCCCACCGCCGTAATGTAGCTCCTCTGTGTACTTTCTATAAATACTGTCATGGGAACGGTTCGGAATAATTCTTCACTAGGGTACATCGACTTTATGAATTTAAACGCAGTACTAGATTGGCGGCAAGGTCTCATTATTTCACAATTTAATTGGCTAGATGTAACCGTAAGTTCTATGCTAAGAGTTTCTTCTATCGCGCTACAAGCTTATAGAACATTTTCCAGTGAGGTCCAGCCAACATTGATCTTCAAAAATTTAAACGCCATGTCAACTCCTCATGGATTATTTAATGCCGGAATTTAATATTCTTGGGAATATTAGTAATTTCTTTTACAAAAATGTATTTCTGGTAATATTTTTCTTACAATAATATATTGCTGGTAATTTTTTTTACTTTTTACAAAAATGTATTTCTGGTAATTTTTTTTTTTTTTTTTTTTTTTTTACTATGGAAAAGGTATTGCTGGTATTTTTACTATAATTGTTTTATACTTTTATCGTGTTTTGACCCAGTTTGTTGATTAACTGATTTGTCCATAGCTGAGACCTTAACAGGTGCTACCAGCTCGGCTCAAGATGGACCTGAGAACAACAGCAAATAAGAGGTGGTTCCACGCTTATCAAAACCTAGCGATCAGAGGTCTTGCTACCGGATGTAGTTTATCGTCATATTCATAACGGTAAACGGAATGTCAATCGTGATCTACTGTCTTCTTGATTACTCTTCTATTATTCTCGTTCCTTCATAATAATTCTCTTTTTCCTTATTAATTCAGACTCTTGTGTCTTAGATGTTTTACTGCATGGGGTGATACGATTAAAACAAGGTTTCAACGGTTCAATTGCTGTCGAAAATGCCTTCGAAGACTTTGTTGTATCAAAGTTTCTAACTTCTCTTCCAGTGGAATAACTACACTCGAGTCTTGGCAAAAATGGGTAGAATCTAATAGCTCGTATGTTAATTAATAAAAATTCTTCTAAATTAAGATCTGACATTTTAAAAATAATGATTAAAACCTACATTAATAAAAAATAAACAATTCATATATTACCCGCATAAATATACATTTTAAAATTATTGTAACGTTGTAATATTCCTGTGAGTACAGCAATTTACTGGATTTTTTTTTTCAATAAAATGTCTCATATGCGGGTCGTGTACGATTACGTATTCATGAGTTCAGCATGTACGGATGCGTATTCAGCACAATGGAAACTATAAAAGAGAAAGAATGTCGCCCCCTACGTTTGGGGATAAAACGTTTGACGGGGCGCTTTCAATCATAAAACAATGCCGTTGAACGTATTATTTCCTACTACAAGCAAGAGCATGTTATTTACAGCTCGGTATTTCAGTAAATAGTCCTGTCAAGGTTGACAATGAACACACCAGTTTTTATTTATATTTTTTTTTTCACCACGGCCTGGCTCGTTAAAACTAAAGAAAAGTGTACTGAGTGTTTATGTAATATCAGCCTTACTCTATGGCAGCGAATACTGAGCAATTTGCTCACAGATTTAATGGTTCTATAGAAGGATGTTGAGAAAACCATGGATTGAACATGTGAGCAACGGCGAAGGTTTAAAAAATTGGAAACAAAAATGACATTTAATCTTAACATCAGAAAGAGACTGGAGGAACTTCTACGGGCCATAACGAGAAAAGACGGCTTGGAAAATTTAATACTCACAGGACAGATTGAAGGCAAGAAGAACAGAGGAAAACAACGCATAACCTACCTAGAGAGCATGAGTAAACGGAATGATGGAGCAAGGTTTAGGAGAGATAACAACAGGTATAACATTTATTAAGAGCATCAAAGTACAGGAAATTGTGTAGCGCAATGATCACCAAATGTCATGAAAGGACACGGCACATAAAAGTTTGCCTTATGATTATCAACCTACCCATTTTTTGCTGGTATCATGAGTTTTGTCAGTATGGCTGATTATGAAAAAGAGCAGAGGGAGAAGTTATACCTTTTCTATGGATATTTGAGTGAGATGAACATGAACAGCATCACCCGAATTTCCAGTTCAGTCTAGTGTGTGTGTGTGTGTGTGTATGTTTCATTAAATAATATAGACAAGGGTTGTCTATTTATTTTATGTAAATTTTTTTCATAACGTCTGATAAGTTTAATAACATAATCATTGAACGAAGAAAGAAATTCACAATATTGATCCATATTTTTTAATACAATCTAAGCTTTCGGCTTACATAAGCCATTATCAAAGATATCAATTACAACATATTAAGCAATATACGGACGAGACAGTGATGATAGTCTGTCAATGTTTACATAGATGATTTCTAAGTAACGATGAACACGTACATATGATATGCGGTGCGATTTTCGCTTCTAGCATTTTAAATCGTCCCATACTTACTCTGATGGCATCCTTTTGGAAGTGTCTTCTCACGAAAATTGACTTTCCCAGATATTATAGCTCGAGACTCCGGGTTAAACATTGGGAATCTGTGGACAGTAATACAGGACCGAACGGTGTGGAAAGGGACTGTTAATGGAGTACCGACCCACTATAGGAAGGTCGAAGGATAATAATGATTATGATGATGATGATGATGATGATGAAGATGATGATATCATTATGGAAGCACCGTCAGTCAAAATGGTGCCTTATTGACAACTGGTATTAATTTCTCAATATATCAAGAATGCAGAATCCTTGCTGCAATCACTTGAGCAAGCAACGAACCAGGTAGGCTTTCATTGCAACGTGAGTAAGAGAGAATATATCAAAACCTTCCCTGAACCATTTGAGTTGAAGTCGCTCAATAATACATCCATCAAAAGAGGTGAGGACTTCAAATATCTGGGAAATCATATAATATCAGGTCATCCCAAAAGCTTCTTGAAGCAGCCCTTGAAGAAAATCCTGCATTATCAGTTGAGGAATTGGCAATGGTTCTCAGTTCAAACCATACAACTGTTCATCGTCATCTTCAACAACTTGGAAAAGTTCCTAAACTTGGAAAATGGGTGCCTCGTGAATTGTCTGAAAACAACCTCAAATCTCGAGTTGACATCTGCTCTTCTCTCCGTTCTCGCCAACTTGTTTCACCTTTTTTGGATAGAATTGTGACTGGCGACGAAAAATGGATCTTTTATCGAAATGTTAAGCGTCGTAGACAGTGGCTTGGTAAAGGGGAAGGATCCCAGCCACAGCCGAGAAGGGAACTTCATGGGCAAATGGCTCTTCTTTCAATCTGGTGGGATCGCCAAGGAATAATCCACTTTGAATTCTTACCACCTAATGCAACAAATAATGCTCAAATATAATGTCAGCAATTAGAGCGTTTGAACCAAGCTTAGAGGAAAAAAAGTGAATCGAAAAGGGGTGATGTTTCATCAGGACAATGCGTGACTCCACACAGCAAGAATCACGTCACAAAAGATCGAAGAACTTGGTTGGGAGAAAATTCCTCATCCACCTTATTCTCCCGATCTTGCTCCTTCAGACTACCATTTGTTTCGTAGCTTACAGAATCATTTGGAAGAAACAGCTTTTGTAACACGGGAAGAGGTTAAAACTAACATTTGTGAGTTCTTAGAATCAAAGCCAAAAGAATTTTACAGTAATGGAATTAGTAAGCTTGTTAATAGATGGAAGGAAGTCATAGATAATCAGGGAAAATACATTGTTGATTGAATCTGTAATTAAATGTAACATTTGGTCACTTGTTTTCTTTATTCAAAATTCGGACAGAACTTATGGGATGACCTGATAGATTCCCAAAAAGATTTCAACATTCACAAAGCTTTTGCATGGGATGCGTGTAGCAAACTTCACAAGATTTGGCGCTCGAACCTTCCATCCTCCTTAGAAGTCTAAACCTTTCAAACATTGATTGAACCAGTCGTGCTGTATTAATCAAAAACTTGGGTATTATCTGTTTCTCTTGACAGACGACAGCATGAAACATATACAAATCTAATTAGAAATTTTCAGAACGTCACTTGGAGATTCCATGCAATGCTTAACACAATTTACGAAGAACTAAAACCAATCACTCTTAAGCTCAAACAAAAACGATTACAGTCTGTCGGCCACTGCTACCGAGCGGACAGGGAAATTGTGTCATCCTTGCACCTTTGGCATCCTTCTGGAAGTGTATTCTCACGAAAATTGACTTTCCTTGACGTTATAGATTGGGACTCAGCGTTAGACATTGGGGATCTGGGGACAGCTATGCACGGCCGAAGACGGATTGTCAATGGAGTTCCAACCCACCATAGGGAGGTTGAAGGATGATGATGACGATGAAGAAAATTGAGATGAAATAATTAAAGCTTGTTGATACATTTGCGGAGGATAATAGAATAATTCAGAACCTATCCTGGGAGCAAACTGCCTTCATACAGATAGAAAATGAATTCCGTAAGTACGCAAATATAGAAAGAGATGAAGACAGAGACGTGTCTTATCACCAAACATATTTAACCTTGTTAGTAAGGTGATGCAGAGAGAATTATAGGCAGATACAATCTTAACATACGATATGCAGACGACATAGTGTTGATAGCAGACACGGAAAGGAAACTACAGCAACTCTTGAAGAAAGTAGCAAAGGAAAGTGTGAAGGACTAAACATCAATTGTAAGACAAAATGCATGGTTGTTAGTAAAACGGATAGCCCGATATGCGAATTACAAATTGGAGATACCAAAATCCAAAAAGTAGAAAGATTTATATATCAAGGAAATGTTTTAACATACGACAATAAAATGTGACACCGAAATCCGAATGTGCATTGGAATAGCGAAAGGTGATTTAACAATTCAAAATTTTGAGAGGAAGGCTTTGTTGGCTGACCGAAACGTTTTTAACGTTTTTATCTCATATATATATATATATATATATATATATATATATATATATATGTCTATATTTCTGAGATTAGGTATTATGTACATTATTTACATTATTCGGACTATTCTCCTCATCTTCGTCGCCATATTTGTCACAACGTTTCGGCCGTTATACGCTCCGGCCTTCTTCAGTGAACGAAATAAAGGGTTCAGTTCGAAATTCCAACCACCTGGAGAAGTCCGGGCGTACAACGGCCGAAACGTTGTGATAAATATGGCGACAAAGATGAGGACAATAGTCTGAATAATGTAAATAATATATATATATATATATATATATATATATATATATATATTCCAATAATTTGAACCGATTTCAATGTGAATTAAGTTTAAGCGACTAATGATTATTTTTCTTTTTCTTTCAAATTTGGCGGATATTTGGGCGATATTATTTTTCACACATAATTGCTATGACTTAAATGACTTAACATGAACCCATAGAGAAATAAATAAATTTTCACAAATAACACTGATTTATTGCCGACTTTGATCCGTCTTAATGAAACATCCTCATCCATCTGAATGAAACACCGTTTATATATGTGTGTGTGTTGTCAGCATTATCTCATTTATATATATACATGTGTGTGTGTGTGTGTTTGTGTTTGTGTGTGTGCGCGCTTGCGCACGTGTGTGTGTACATATGGGAATCGCATTGAATCAATGAGATATGTCCTTTCGAAGCTTTGTTCCTCCCACATAAATAAGAAAAGAGCAAACATTATAAATGTCTTTGTAGGGAGGCACGAGGCATATTAACATCGCTCGCTAGATTGATAGATATGAATAGATTTTTTAGAAATTACCATAGATAGAGAGCTAATGAAAAGACTGAAAAGATAAAATTAGACATAGATAGATAGATAGATAGATAGATAGATAGATAGATAGATAGATAGATGAAAGAATTTACATGTGATTAGACATAGATAATGAATGAAATGTACATGTGATTAGATAGATACACATATATAAGTACAAAATGAAAGAATTTATATGTGATTAGATATAGATAGATAGAAAATGAAAGAATTTAAATGTGTTTAGACATAGTTAATGAAAATACTTAGATATAATTAGACATAGATAGATAGATAGATAGATAGATAGATAGATAGATAGATTAAAGAATTTACATGTAATTAGACAGAGATAGATAGATAGATAGATAGATAGATAGATAGATAGATAGATAGATAAAAGTATTTACATGTGATTAGATAGATAGAATTTACATGTGATTAAACAGAGATAGATAGATAGATAGATAGATAGATAGATAATGAAACTACTTAGATAAAATTAGACATAGATAGATAAGGAAGACATATGTGAATAAATATCGATAGATATTAAAATAGATAGATAAGCACAGATGAAAGGCAAGTAATTATATGACCAGCCTTATTAAACGGCTGCAGCTGTCTTTAGCAGATGTTATCGTCGCGTATGCCATGAGAAATATCGTATAAAAAGTGACTTTCTCAATAAATGTATTTGACAGCCGCCATAACTATTCGAGGATTTCAAATCACTTTATACTAATTGCAATCGCTATTGTTTCGATTGCATTTTCTGATACCATTCATTACTACTCTTTCGCCGCGTGCATCCTCACGACATCATTTATTGATTGTATTTCATTATTACTTTTATCTCTCTCTCTCTCTCTCTCTATATATATATATATATATATATATATATATATATATATATATATATATATATATATAATCGATATTCATGAGAACTGCAAAAACAAATTTATGGTACTTGCTACGATTAATATGTCAGGCCTTTAGAACCCAAACCAGGAAGCAGAATGTTCATCATTTCACGGTTGATATGAAAACTCCCACCCTGTTTCTGTTTCTGTCCCTTTAACCTTTTGGTCACGTGGTCCAGTGGTTAGAACGCTCACCTTCTGACCATGAGGCCCGGGTTCGAATCTCACCATGGCATGTTTTACGATGAGTAAGCTCATTTTAAAAAATATATTTACCAAAATTACACAAAAATATCTTGAAATACCAACGAGTAAATTTATTCAATAAAATCGTCATTGGCTTCTACCACGGCCTCCAGATGACTTCGCAATCTCCTGCAACTCTTCTGGACGGTCTCCTTGCTTAAGTTGGTGAAGGCTGCCATAATCCTTGCCTTCAGTATATCTTTGGTGTTACAAGGAGTTTCGACGGTCTCCCTCTCAACTGCGCCTTCACATAATAATCAAGGGGATAGAAGTCTAAGGAGATATATGGCCATATCTAAAGGTTGATGTAGTTACAGAAATTGTCTAACAACAATAACTGGGTGCTCCGATATGGTGCAGAGTCCTGTTGCCCGATACAGTGTCTTCCAACAGGCAACCTACTAACTCAGGGTAGCATTACTTCCTCAAGGCATTTGATGTAGGTCTTCTTGTTGACTCTGAGGCCCCATGGGATGATGAATGGAAGCATAATATCGCCATCATTAGTGATCACTCCAAACAACTTCCTAATCACCATTAGACTCATCCAATTTTTTCGAATCCTCTGCGCTCAGATTGACACCCAAATACTCTTAAATGTTCGTGTTGGAGCTTCCGGTGCGAATACCAAGCAGTACAGCATGTTGTTTCCAAATTTCTGGCGGGGTGAATTGCGTCATGGTGATCTTTTTCTCACAGACGTCGCCTACTAGAACCTACTATCTTGCGAAGTCGACAAAATCAAAAACAAACAACGCGCATGCGCGATTTTAAAAATATAAAATGGCGACAATTTACCCATCCACACTGCATATAATAAAATTTAATAGATAATAATATCATACTATCTATTACAATAAATGATGTATATCTAATGTTAATCCTACATCCGGAATCTTACGGCTCTCAAACTGATCTTAATTTTATCATTTTTTTTTTTTTTCAATTTTTCTTTCTATCATTTTTTCCGGTTTTCTTATATACAACATCTGCCCCTGAACTCTGAAATTTGATTACTAATTATTTTTTTCTCCTCGACATGAGTAGATAGGTTCAAAGTCCCCCACGTTCTCTACAGAAGTAGAGGTTTATCTCTTGTTTCCTGCTTAGGAATGGGTTTCCGGTTCGTTCTAAAGTCTACTTCAGTTCGATACTTCTAAAGTCTTCGCCTGCAATTTTATTCACTAATTATTTTTCCTAGATAGATAGATAGATAGATAGCAAAAAAGGCAAACACTGAGAAATAAGATAGATAGATAGATAGATAGATAGATAGATAGATAGATAGATAGATAGATTGTCGGAGGCTGACAAGATAGATAGATAGATAGATAGATAGATAGATAGATAGATAGATAGATTGTCGGAGGCTGACAAGATAGATAGATAGATAGATTAGAAGAGATGGACAAGATAGATTGATTAGAAGAAACTGACATGTATCTGAAGAGCCTGATAAGAAGATAACAAGACAGATAAATACAGAGAGAGATTGGAAGAAACTGACTAGATAGATAGATAGATAGATAGATAGATAGATAGATAGATAGATAGATAGATAGAGGATGAGAAGATAGATGAAGAGAGTGAGAGAGAAAAAACCTTTGCACCGTTTAACCGTTTGTCAAGAATTTAAGATGGAAACCAAGACTGTATTCTGTCTAAACTTGCCTTAACTGACGTCATATTTTCCGTTACATATTCAATCTCATCAATCAGCCAATGTATCTGGCAAATTTTCTTTCACATTCCATTTCACTGAACAAACAAATTCGCCTTCGTGAAATACGTACAGTAAAAAAAAACTTCAAAATGAAGTTTTTTTGCCAATCAGTGAATGTTTTGTCTTACTTTATTAACAGATGTCAAACGACAGCGAAGAATAAGTAAATAATAAAATTGAAAAATAAAGAATGATTCTACGTTATTTTCTTTATTCCTATGCTTTGAGCACCTCGCGTCCTCTTTGGACAAACTAAAAATAATTCCTACGCCCGTGAAAAATTTCTCGGTTTGATGAATGGTAATCCTTAAGTTAATAAGTGCCTTGCGAATTGTACGACTTTTAAATACTAAGAGCCAGGTGGCTGACCCATTGCGCCTTCTCGGACTAACCTTTTCAAATGATGCAAAATGAAAAGGGTATATTGAATCAATTGCTAAGTCTGCAGCCAAGAAAATTGCTTCACTGTGTCATGCTAGCCAATTTATCTCACCAGAATCTATCTTTCATACTTATAAGTCTAATATTGGTCCTTGGTTGGAATATTCCTGCCACATCTGATCTGATGCTTCTGCTATATATATTTAGAGATTCTTGATAAAATCCAAAGAAGAATCTGCAATGTTAATGGTCCTGACCTGGCATCTCGTCTTCAGTCACTTACCCACCGCCGTTACGTAACTTTCCTGTATCTTTTCTATAAACGCTTTCATGGTAATTGTTATGATGAACTTTCTTCTATGTTACCTAGACCTTATGAGGTTAAGCGCAGTACTAAATTGGTAGCAAGGCCTCATCATTTTAATGTTGAAGTTGCGAAATGGAACCGTAAGTTCTATGCTAACAGTTTCTTCTATCGCACTTCCGCCTCTATTCTTTCCAGTCAACTTTGATCTTCAAAAATTTAAGCGCAATATCAATCGTTATCTACTGTTTTCTTAATTATTGTCCGTTTAATGTTCTCTCTACTTGGCACAAAAAAGGTGTCATTCACATCTCTTTTAATAACCTGAAAGAACCTTTTTTGCTTTCCATCAATATGGCCGACGCTAATCTCCAAGAGAGTAACTCATTACGCCTTTTCGGACTAACGTTTTCATAAAGTGGAAAGAGTATATTGAATCAATTGCTAAGTATTCAGCTATGAAAATTTGTTCACTATGCTGTGGTTGATACTTTTTCTCATCAGAATCTATCTTATATATTTATAAGTCTACCATTGCTTCCTTTGAATATTGCCGCCAGGTATGGACTGGTCCTCCAGCTATATATTTAGAGACCCCTGATAAAATCAAAAGAAGGTTATGCAAGATTAGGACAACTATCTAAACATTTATTCATGTAGTGATTTTCCAAGCGTAGCTTAGATGTGGCACAAGGCATAAAGTAAGGTGCACCCAGTGAGGATTGAACTCACTACTCCGTCGTAATTGTTCTAGCGAGACAAGCTTGCTAACCATTACACCACCTCGAAGTGCCCGAATATTTATTTATGTATAGTACAACTGGTCACCGAAGGTGCATGCTTTTTAACCTCTTCAAAAAATTACCTGTGTATAGTGCGACTTCCTATTTTATGTAAAAAAATGATCAGAAAAACTCACTCTATATTCTACGGTACTACAAATGGAAAATTGACCTCCAGTTTGTGTTCAGTAAAATCATCTATTAACTTATTTATACGTGATATTTGAGAAAGAATGAGAAAAACGTTAGGGAAATAAGCCTGTAAAGAAGAAAAGAAAGAGAAAAGAGTAAAAATGAAACAGAAAAGAAAAAGAAATAATTTAAGGATTCACATGTTCAAAGCTTTTAATAATAGTAAACAAATTGGATTAGAACATTTCCTTTCTGACCATAAGATGCCATTTCGATCTATCGCTGGACAATCTCCTCATGCCTTTCAGAATCTAAGCAAAGTATTAAGATATAGGAAAATGTCGTTAGAAACAAAGAAAAAAGTGTTGAACTGCTATGTAATATCTAATCTCCTATATTACAGTGATTGCTGGACAATCTCCTGAAGGGTTTCAGAATCTAAGCGAAGTATTAAAGAGATTGGGAAATGTCGTTAAAAATAAGAAAAAGTACTAGGTATGCACTTCAGGGGTCTACCTATTTGTCTTTTAATTACTCTGAGAATTGGTAGGGAAATTTAACTGTTCGGGAAGTTTGTTGACAGACGAGGGAGAGGATGATACACATTCGAATGCGCATAGGAGTAGAGGAAGTTTACATCCAGAAACTTTGCAAAGCATTAAGATAAGGAAAAATATCTTAGAAAAAAAAGAAGCATGCTGGACTGCTATGTAATATCTAATCTCTTATATGGTAGTGAACGCTGGACAATCTTCTCATGCCTTTCAAAAAGTAAGCAAAGTATTAAGATATAAGAAAATGTCGTTAGAAACAAAGAAAAGAGTGTTGAACTGTTATGTAACATCTAATCACCTATTTTGCAGTGATTGCTGGACAATCTCCTCAAGGGTTTCAGAATCTAAGCAAAGTATTAAAGAGATTGGAAAATGTCGTTAGAAACAAGAAAAAGTGTTAAGTAATATCTAATCTTGTCTGTGGGAGTAAATGCTGGATACTCTTCTTCTCGTATATGAAGAAAAGACTTGAAGCAACTGAGATGTGGTCCTACCGATGAATGTTGAGAATGTCATGGGTAGAGCATATGGTAAACGCTGAAGTCATACGTAGTTTAGGAATTTAGAGACCATTCTTGACATTCTGAAAGAAAAAGCTGTAATATTTTGCAGACATCATAAGAAAGGAATGTTCTGAATCTCTTGCGTAAGTCCTACAGGGAGCACAAAACCAAAGACTATTTACGCAACAAGATCAAAAGTCACGTGAGCCGTCAAGAATTTCTCCTCGCCACTATTAAGCGTCTGAAGATTTCATAGCTCGGCATGACAATATCCGCAAGACCGTAATGCAAGGCGCTGTTGAAGACTGACGCAAGCGGGGATGGTAACGCAAGAGTTGATCAGATAGCATTAAAGTATGGACGGACATGACAATACCGGGACTCCTAAAAGCCACCGCTAAGAGATCATCCTGGACGAGGTGGTCTGTTTCTTATGCCCCTCTTTCCCATCTCGCGACGATTGAATCAGTCAAGAGACTGATGATATTGATGGTGATGTCAAATTGTTGATAATTCTCTGCATTTGTCAATTTTAATAGATGCTAATTAAAAGATAAATAGACGTTTGCGTATATGTACATCATCTTCACCCTCTTCCTCATCAACCTTGAGATATATAGCCTGAGTACCTGCCCAGATTGGCATTGATATTAAATACATGGACAAATAGTAGATTTATAAATGTGCAAGATGGATTCTGACGAGAAAAAAGAAACAGAGAAAAGAATTTAAAGATTGACATATTCAAAGCTTTCAATAATGGATGAGGCTATTTTGACGGTCTCGATAAAATAGACAGAGGATGAGACCTAAATGACAATCTAGTAGTACGATAGAATTCACGCGGCTGATGTACCACGGAACAATGTTCATTAGAACAATTGCAATGAAAAACTTTAAAGAAAAGACACAAGGACAACACGTCACGTCGGTGCTAAAGTGACAGAAGTCGAAGTACCAGGTCAGGACTGATAACATTGCAGACGCTTCCTTGAATGTTGCCAAGAACCACAAAATATATAGTAGGATCACCAGACCAGATATGGCAGCAGTATTCCATGCACAGACAAAATAATAGATTTATAAATGTGCAAGATGAATTCCGCCGATTAAAATTGTCTGGCACGACACAGCGAACCAACTTTCCTAGCATTGGATTTCGCAAGTGATTCACTATAATCACTGCGCTTCATTTATTAGAAAAATATATTTAAAGACTCAGTTTACATAAGGATGGAAAAAAAAGGGGGAGAGGTGATGGAGAAAGTAGAAGTGGGATGAGAAAGCGTAAGGAAAAAGAAAGAGAAGGAAAGATAGAGAAATGAATGCGAAAAGAAAGAAAGAAAAAAGAAACAGAAAAAAGAAACAACTTAAAGATTGACACATTCAAAGCTTTTAATATTAGTAAATTAGTACGGAGATTTTTCTATTCATTTTAAAAAAAAATATAACTTTAGTACAAATTAATATAATTATTAGAGCAAATACGCTTCATAATAAAGCAAAACATGGTTCATATTAATACAGAACACGATTCGTACTTATACAGAACATATAGTTCATATCAATACAGAACATATGATTCATATCAATACAGACATATTGTTCATGTCAATACAGAACATATGGTTCATGTCAATACAGAACATATGGTTCATACTAATACAGAACATATGGTTCATGTCAATACAGAACATATTGCTCATATCAATACAGAACATATGGTTCATGTCAATACAGAACATATGGTACATACTAATACAGAACATATGGTTCATGTCAATACAGAACATATGGTACATACTAATACAGAACATATGGTTCATGTCAATACAGAACATATGGTTCATGTCAATACAGAACATATGGTTCATACTAATACAGAACATATTGTTCCTATCAATACAGAACATATGGTTCATGTCAATACAGAACATATGGTTCATACTAATACAGAACATATGGTTCATGTCAATACAGAACATATGGTTCATGTCAATACAGAACATATGGTTCATACTAATACAGAACATATTGTTCATATCAATACAGAACATATGGTTCATGTCAATACAGAACATATGGTTCATACTAATACAGAACATATGGTTCATGTTAATACAGAACATATGGTTCATGTCAATACAGAACATATGGTTCATACTAATACAGAACATATTGTTCATATCAATACAGAACATATGATTCATATCAATACAGAACATATTGTTCATGTCAATACAGAACATATGGTTCATGTCAATACAGAACATATGGTTCATACTAATACAGAACATATGGTTCATGTCAATACAGAACATATTGTTCATATCAATACAGAACATATGGTTCATGTCAATACAGAACATATGGTACATACTAATACAGAACATATGGTTCATGTCAATACAGAACATATGGTTCATGTCAATACAGAACATATGGTTCATACTAATACAGAACATATTGTTCATATCAATACAGAACATATGGTTCATGTCAATACAGAACATATGGTACATACTAATACAGAACATATGGTTCATGTCAATACAGAACATATGGTTCATGTCAATACAGAACATATGGTTCATACTAATACAGAACATATTGTTCATATCAATACAGAACATATGGTTCATGTCAATACAGAACATATGGTTCATACTAATACAGAACATATGGTTCATGTCAATACAGAACATATGGTTCATGTCAATACAGAACATATGGTTCATGTCAATACAGAACATATGGTTCATACTAATACAGAACATATTGTTCATATCAATACAGAACATATGGTTCATGTCAATACAGAACATATGGTACATACTAATACAGAACATATGGTTCATGTCAATACAGAACATATGGTTCATGTCAATACAGAACATATGGTTCATACTAATACAGAACATATTGTTCATATCAATACAGAACATATGGTTCATGTCAATACAGAACATATGGTTCATACTAATACAGAACATATGGTTCATATTAATATATTTATTCGAGACAATGTAACAAAACCCACATTAACTAGCAATACCCGTGTAAATTTCACGTTTTTCCTATTTCAATTTTCTGATGAATCTTAATTCTTAATTCAATGAATAATTAAGAGCCTTGCGAGATGCAGGGCTATAAAATACACATGGAAATTTCCCTATAGCTAAATATAGTTAAATATTTGAGTTTAAAAAACTTAAAAATATTAAATTAACAATTATAAATTTGAATGCAGTTCATTATTTACTGAATTAAGAATGTACAAATGAAAAGACTTAAAATTGAAAAGGTTTGTTATTATTTCACTGAAGCAGACGTGAAATATATGAGCGTATTTTTGCTTCTTCCTTTCTTTCTTTTTCACTGAAACCATGCGTCTCTGATATGTATTTTCTGTCTTTCCTCGCGATCAAAACGTAACAGTCCATTATTTATTTTCCTAAAACCAACCAGCGCCTTTGATATATAGTTTATTCTGTTATGTGAATAGGGAACAAGCAATCTATCAAAAGTCTATTCTCGCAATCAACCGGGAATGGCCCGTTGTTGGTCTCAGACAATGACAGTACGAAGCATACGTGCTAAGGAACGAAGAATTAGATTTTGATTGTTCTTAAACGTTTTGAACATATTACCAGGACTTTGATATTTGACACTTGTCTGGTGTCACGGAATTTACATAAATGAAGAAAACAAACTACTCAGTCTAAATTGTAGCATAGGAGACAATGTGTATATTAGAACCCAAATATCAACCGACCTACATCACGTAAATGTCACGTTCCAAAAGGTCAAATATTAAATAAAGTCTCCATTCTGGGTTTCGCTATGAGTATTTTATTCGAAGACGTCGCTCAAATAAGGTATTGAACTGTATTCTTTGTTTCTCCGATAGGCTCTTCAGGGGCCCACCTGTTTGTCTTTTAATTACTCTGAGAACTAGTAGGGAAATTTAACAGTTCAGGGAGTTTTTTGACAGACGAGGGAGAAGATGATACAAATTCGAATGCGCATAGGAGTAGGGAAAATTGACACCCAGAAACTTTGCAAAGCATTAAGATAAGGAAAAATATCTTAGAAAAAAAAAGAAGAAGAATGTTGAACTGCTATGTAATATCTAATCTCTTATATGGTAGTGAATGCTGGACAATCTTCTCATGCCTTTCAGAAAGTAAGCAAAGTATTAAGATATAGGAAAATGTCGTTAGAAACAAAGAAAAGAGTGTTGAACTGCTATGTAATATCTAATTTCTTATATTGCAGTGATTGCTGGACAATCTCAAGGGTTTCAGAATCCAAGCAAAGTATTAGAGAGATTGGAAAATGTCGTTAGAAACAAGAAAAAGTGTTAAGTAATATCTAATCTAGTCTGTGGGAGTAAATGATTGATACTCTTTTTCTCGTATATGAAGAAAAGACTTGAAGCAATTGAGATGTGGTTCTACCGAGGAATGTTGAGAATGTCATGGGTAGAGCATATGATAAACTCAGATGTTTTACGTAGTTTAGGAGTTTATGAATTTAGAAACAATTCTTAACATTCTGAAAATGAGAAAGCTGTAATATTTTGTAGACATCATATGCAATAAATACTTGCATAAAATTAACAAACAGACGAAACCTCGAAAGCTCGAAACTGCAAAGCAATAAAAAAAATACGTGATACACTCTTGGTGGGGTCTTAACCCTTTGAAATCGGTGTATTCTAAAACTCACCTACGGGATTTTAATTTGTGGCAAAAATGTCTAACATCACCTATCAGGAAAGTAGACATCGAATAACTATATTTTCTTTATTTCTTTTATTAGTTCACCGAATACAAGATCCGGGGTCTACTCAAGGTAAAGGGTAACTGAGTGGGTTTGTAAGCTAGTGGGAGCAAAATAGTATTACGATGGCAGGTATGATATATATCGGTTGATCCTGGACTTAAAGAGACCAAGATTGTAATAGGGTTTTATTGATTGATTTTTACAGGTTTCCAACCCTTTCCAGGTTATTTAAAGCCTGAAAATATTTTGGGGGATCGTAAGTATTTTTTGGAGATAATAATGATTTACTGATACAATTCCTACTAATTAACCCATAGCTGGGGGTGAAGAGGTAGATTTATATTTTTTTCCATGTGTATTTGTGTAGGTGACTACAACGAGCCCGACTAGAATTAGAACTCAGCTCACCGATTTCCAACTCCGTGCCGTTATCCATCACACCACTCGTACATCAAAGCTTGCAACACCTGATATTCCCAAGCGGTCATCTATCTAGTAACTGACCAGCCTCTACGTTGCTTAACTTCGATGATAGTACAGGAACCGTTGTTTCATCGTGATATGACCGTAAGACCTTTAGTTGTCAGGGAAGCATTCTCTCGGGAGTTCCACAAAGTGACAGTTCTGGGGAAGAAGCTGTCTGAGTGGAACTTGCTTTTTTTTATCGAAGAAAGTCGAATGGAATAGAGATGGTTTCTCATGCGCCCTGTTCAGAAAATACTCAAGATTCGTTGGTAAAATCACTTATCAGTCGCTTCAAGACATTCCTTTGCTTGTGATTAATTTGTCCATCATTCACTGTCATATTGCAGGATAAACATTACATAGTCTAAAAACAGCAGTGATTGAACATCTAGACCTAAAGAACGAAATGTTTATCCTGTCCGGTATTAAGCATCACAAATATTGATGCTTACGATAAGAATAGTCGGTCAGATTTCGATTTCGCGTATGACAAAATATTCAAATATTTAATCACGAAGCTGGCTCGTAAATATGATATCCGTTAACATCTAAAAAAAAAATAAAATAAAATTTCGTTAGCCAATTACTACTGTTATTTTTTTGTCGCATCTCTTCGAGATTTTTTTATTTATTTTACAAGCCCGGAATCTGTTTCTGCAAATTCTTAATGCTTACACTATTACTGCCACATATGGTTCGATGCTATTAACCTTGAGCTCCTTAACAAGATTTAAAAAAGAATCAGCGATATTACTGGTCTTCATCTCGTCGCTCAGCTCGAGTCACTTTCCCACCGCCGTAAGGCTGCCTCTCTATGTCATTTCTCTAAATACTTTCATGGTAATTGTTCGAATGAGCTCTTTGCTATGGCACCTAGATTTTTTTTTTATTTAAACGCAGTACTAGACTTTCGTAGGGGTCTCATCAATTTACAGTTGATCTGGCTAGATGTAGCCGTAAATTCTATGGGCTGTAACCTAGAGAAGCTTACTGAATCAAATAATTAAACGAAGGTTGGTAATTAACGATAATACTTAGGACAAGAAAAACACATATAAGATTCGCCAGCGGCGCGTAGAATTAGTAGTCAACTGCTATAAGTGAGTCAAGTGAATTCCACAATGAATCTCCACCTGCAAGATATCTACCAACCGCCCCACGCGGTCAGATCTGGCACAAGGACGAATTTAAGGACGAATGTGGGGTATCCGAAACAGTAGGGTCGACCAAAAATTCCCTGAAGACCCCGTATAAAACGAGGTCGGGTAGCTGTTTTCCGAGACGAGACACTGCCTTTCGACATAGCTTTGTCTGGAGATCCTCCCTGCTCGAAGGCAGAGTGTTTGACTGGCACAGCTGGAGACATATCTCCACCTGAAGACCAACATACAGCATTTACTACTATATTTATGTGAATAGGGACATACCCATTATCGTCAGTAGGTATGATACAACACTATGCTAACAGTTTCTTCTCTCGTACTTCTCTCTTATGGAACTCCCTCCTGGATCCAAGCTTTCAACCCTACTTTAATCTGGAAATATCTAAATGCAATGTCAATCGCTATCTGCTGTCTACCTGATTACTCTCTTCTCTTTATGCCCATCATTAATGTTTCTGTGCTTAATTCTTCCAGACCCTGTAACCCCTTTTGTTTTAGTGGCATTGCTGCCTTGCTTGGGATTATTCCGATTTAAAAAAATTCCGACATTTACATCTAAGACATGTCATACTAATTCAAAGGAGTCGAGTCGTCCTTATCTCCCCCGCATTCCAAAATGTAAGAAAGAAGTTCTAAACAAGCAGCTTTTATCTCCCAAGAACTACCACTTTGTGAAACAGGCTCCCGCGTGTGTACTTCCATGAACACTTCAATCTTAATCTATTCAAGTCAAGGGCCAATCGTTATCTATCCTCCCTGTACCCCTAATCTCCACTACCTACCTCTTCCACTCCCACCTGGTTTATCACTATCATTTCAACTAGAACGCTCTAGCTTGTGTGGCTCTCGAGCTTGAATGAAATTTAGAGGAGAGGAACAAACAGTTGTACATTGCAAATTAATGAGAATGCATTGCATCTTCTATCATTTCTTTAACGACGCCTTTTTGCGTTTTGGCTGTGAAGATATTTTGGAAGACATCACTGAAATAAACCATATCGCTAAAATATTTACTTCTTCAATAGCTACTACTGTACAGTCATCTTGTTTGCTTGCTTTTTTAATTACTACTGATGGTCAAAATCCTCACATATGAAGGGGAGACTTGAAGTGACAGATGTTGGTTTATCGACAATTGCTAAGAATTGCTAAGAAAAACACCTACACTTTATGGCGGCTTTCCAGGTGTTTTTAAAGTCATTTCCCTCCAAGCAAGGCGATAAAAGCCACTGGGATGCAAAGGGTTACTGAGAGTGAAAGAAAAAGTGAAGACTATGAAAGACACAGGATTCAAGAAGATAGAAGATGGCGATAGACATTGCATGTATGTTTTTGATCGTAGCAGTTGACAGAAAAACATATCGAGCGTTCCACAAGCGAAAACGTAAAGAAAAGAAACTGTTAGCATAGAACATTACAACTACAAATGACAACAGCGAAACTATGAAAGGTAGCAGCCACTGGAGTACACCGCTTAAATTTCTAAAGTCGAGGTACCACGTACCTCACTAGATGCCCCATACTTTCAACCTTGTGCTACATCTAAGCTATATTTAGTAAATCGGGCCACCTCGCCGTGGTGTAATGGTTAGCAAATTATTTCTCCTTAAATCAATTGCGTATGTGTAGCGAGTTCGATCCTCACTGGGTACTCCATGCTTCCAACCATGTGCCACGTGTACGCTATGCTCAGTAAATCGGGCCAATTCGATGTGGTGTAATGCTGTTTCTCGCAAAATCAATTAGTTTGATCCACACTGGGTGCTCCATACTTCCAACCTTGTCTACACTACGCTTAGTAAATCGGGCCACCTCGACGTGGTGTAATGGTTAGCAAGCTATTTCTCGCTAAATCAATTGCGTCTGTGTAGTGAGTTCGATTCTCACTGTGTGCTCCATACTTTCAGCCCCGTGGCCCAATTCAGTGGGTATAATCGGGCAGGCCAGATCACGTCAACCCTGCAACAGCAAATATATACGAGAACAACATCAGACTAGGAATTCTCAAATCTGATTGGACGATGGAAACAAGAGACGCACACCCGCCCGTTCATTCTCTTCCTTGCATGACGCATCACGCCAGAATCATCAGAGGCCACGACGATTGGTAATTACGCTATTTAAATACCAAACATTTTCGTTTTATTTGCTTCTTCCTTACAGAAAATAGTTTAAAGTGAAAAAAAAAATAACAAAATATACACCTACCATTTGTCTATTAATTGTTTTTTGTTAGGATGACTAAATATGTTTATTGAGGTTTCAGTTAGCGTCCCACACGGTTAACAAATTTCAGCATTTCCAATATATTCTAGGATATGAAATCAAATATTGAAAATCTGGGGTTAATAATGTCATATTATTATTATTATTATTATTATTATTATTATTATTATTCTCTACACTATGCAGACATGCTTCTAAATATGTTAGTCTACGTAGATTTATATATTTTATCACAGAAAGAAAGCGAAGAATTTTCAAGAGCTAAGTGACAAACACACAGGCACGTATATATATATATATATATATATATATATATATATATATATATATATATGTCCGTGTGTGTGTGAAAAAGATATATGTATATACATATGTGTGTATGTATATCTGTGTGTGTATGTATATATATATAGGTGTGTGTATGTATATATATACGTGTGTGTATGTAAATATGTGTATATATATATGTGTGTATGTATATATATGGTTAGGTATATATATATGTGTGTTTTGTACGTATATATGTACATCTATACGTATCTATCTGTATATATATGTGTGTTTATATATGTATATATATATGTGTGTGTATGTATGTATATATATACATCTATATATATATATATATATATGTGTGTGTGTGTGTTTATGTATGTATATATATGTGTGTGTGTATATATATATATATATATATGTGTGTGTGTGTGTGTGTATATATATATATATTTGTAAATATATATATATATATATATATATATATATATAATTAGGAAAAACCTTAAAATCCATTTTAGGTAATAAATTTATTTCGATGAATGTACAGATTACATTTTCTAAAAATATTGTCGATCTGTTGAGATGAATATACCCATATTCATCGAAATAAATTTATTACCGAAAATGGATTTTTAAGGATTTTTCTAATTATTATTATAATTTGCTCTGTATTATACATTGAGCTCTCATATGGACTATAATTCCTCTTTGGAACAATCTCTACCAATTACAATTACTATTATTATTCATTATTACTAAATATACATATTTATTAACATATACTTAATAGCTCTTATTTAGCATTGAACACTGTTTTTCTTACACCAAAAGATATATATATATATATATATATATATATATATATATATATATATAATAATAGTAATAATAATAATAATAATAATAATAATAATAAAGATATATATATATATAATAATAATAAAGATTTTCAAAATAACGGATTCGACATAGATATAAAATCTAACCTAAACGAAGTAGATTTTCTAGATGTTACCTTCAACCTAAGAAAAGGCACATATAAACCATACAGAAAACACAATGATAAACCACTCTATATACACACATCTTCCAACCACCCACCTTCTATAATCAAACAGACACCAAAATCGATTAACCGCAGGCTTTCCTACAATTCCTCTAATGAATCCATATTTAACAAAGCTAAGAATGACTACGAAAGAGTCCTAAAAGATGGCGGATTCCCAGCAACACTCACATACTCACCACAGAACACAAAAAAGGCCAACAGGAAAAGAAATATCATATGGTTCAACCCACCGTATAGCAAAAACGTAAAAACAAACGTAGGAAAAATATTCTTCAAACTCTATACCGGAATGAAGAACCCCATACAAAATATTCAATAAAAACACAGTAAAAATCAGCTACAGTTGCACCGAGAACATGGCACAAATAAAAAAAAAGCACAACAGAAAAATTATCAACAAATCACACGAACAAATTAAACCCACGTGCAACTGCAGAATAAAGAACGAATGTTCCTTAAACGGTAATTGTTTACAAAACAACGTAATATACCAAGCCACGATAAAATCACCAGATAATGAAGAAAAAGTATACATAGGAGTAACTGAAGGACCCTGGCAACAAAGAAATTATGCACACAAAACATCTTTCAAAAATAGTAAATATGCGAACAGCACAATGCTTTCTAAATATATCTGGGAAATTAAAAACAAAATGCACATCACACCAAAAATATCTTGGAAAATAAGGAAAAGATCATCAGCCTACAACAGCCAATCAAAAACTTGCAAACTTTGCTTGGAGGAAAAAATAGCTATCATTACCTTCCCAGACCAAAATAAATTATTAAATAAAAGATCCGAGCTCATCTCAAAATGCAAACATGAAAACAAATTTTTACTACGTTACTTAAAAACTGCTTCCGCCAAAATAATAGTTAGAATAAACTACAACAGTCAACCCCAAAATTGAATAAATAGATTTAAGTATCTTCCCAAACCAAAACAAAACTATTAAATAAGCAATATAAACAAATTATTACTACGTTAATAAAAACACTGACTAATAAAAATAAAAAATAAATTTATAAGATAAGAAATAAAAATAAAGATAAAAATAAAAAATAAAAATAAATAAAAACATGCAAAATAATTTAACCCAAATAAATAAATAAACGACTTCCGGTAAAATAACCGCCAAAATAGACTACCCACAATGCACTACTGACCCATATATATAAATAACCGAGAAAAATAACAGCACTAGTGGCCTGACGATTGCATCTAGCATGAAACAGAGAGTTGCCTCTAAGTGTTGACTTCTATGTACACTTTTATATTTACACACGCTATCTCTGATATTGAGTACTTTATCCAATAAATAGAGCACATCTTAAGACAATATTTCTTCATATATATATATATATATATATATATATATATATATATATATAGTCGGGCCTGACGATTGTGTCTAGCATGAAACAGCCTGTCGCCTCTGAGTGTTGACATCAATGTTCATGTTCATATATATATATATATATATATATATATATATATATATAAAAACTTCCCAACTTTGAGTTTCGCAAAATTAGTATCTGCTCTTCAGGGATGTATAAAATAATGTTATTATTATTTTTTTTTTTTTTTCAATAATACCATCTTTCTTGTTAATACAAAAGGCAGCCTATGTATGTGTGTGTGGGTGTGTCTTAGTGTTCCTCCTTCGTTTCTTCATTTCTTTGTTTCTTTCTTTCTTTCTATTTATCTGTCTGCATATCTATCGATCTATCTGTCTATCTATTTCTCTGTCTATCTATCTATCTATCTATCTATCTATCTATCTATCTATCTATCTATCTCGTAAACAAATACGATAACGTGTTCAGGCTTATCTTTCCGAGGTTTACAGAACTGGTATCTACTCCTCAAGGAGTTGGTAAATTGAATTTATTTAATGATATCATATAATTCTTCTTCTTCTTCTTCTTCTTCTTCTTCTTCTTCTTTGTTGCAATCATGATTCTCCACAATTTCCTGTCCTTCGTAAATTTTGTCTTTGTGCTATTTTCCTAAACCCTGTTCTGCCGTCCATTTACACAAGTTCGTTAGGTAGGTTATGGGCTGTTTTCCTATGACCCTTTTCCCTTCAATATGTCTTGTAAGTGTCAAATTTTCCAAGCCCTCTTTCCTCATTATGTGGTTTAGAAATGTCAACTGTCTCTTTCCGATGTTAAGTATGAATGTCCTCTTTGCTTTCATTTGCTCAAAAACTTCGATATTACTAACATATTCAGTCCACAGTATCTTCGACTCCATCCTTCTGTAGGCTTTAGTAGGCCTGATATTATATAACAATTCAGTATTCTTTTCTACGTTTCTAACGAAAATCTCCCTATTTCTGAATACTTCACGGATATTTAAAGTGTTGTACTTGCTTGAATGTTTGTGTCCGACATTTGTAATTTCCATGTTAGGCACGTTCCTTTTGCTGTTAACAATGCATTATCTTTTTGCATTTATCTCAAACTAGCTTAAAAGCCGCACTCCGCACTCCAGCAGAGGGCTATTGGGCCTCCGGTCCAAAACTAAAGAGTCTACTGGTCCAGCTTAGAAACAGCAATGTTAATTTGGAAAAAATAACTGAATTACTTAATTTATTCCATGGAACTTCAAAACCTCACTTTAACTCTGATTCCAATTCCGACCAAAAGATCGATTTGGGCCGATATTCCAATTCAGGCCGAAAATTGAGTTCTTGAAATTACAAACTTGAAAAACTCACAGGACGAAAATTTTCATTTTAACTCTGATTCCTTTGCACTTTGAAGAAATAAATTGATTTCCTTTTTAAACTGAATTTAAAAACGATTTTTTTCTGTTACTTTAAACTCAATAGAAATTAAAAACTTTTAAAATGATTAATTTTTTCAGTTATTTTAAAATTTGAATTTTTAACTGTTCCCACCTCATCTCGTCAGAAATCCCAATACTGAATGTTCAAGCACCAGATGAAGGGCAGATTTCCAATCCTGGGATCATCTTGATTCCCAAAAGGTATAATATGTCTATGTAGAGACAGTGAGGCCGAGTTAGAGAGGTTTCAGACACACAGACAGAATTTGCAGTTTATTTATTTAGATAGAAGACGTTAATTTTTGGCGTCAATTTTAAATGTGTTCTTTCTTAAAGACGTTATTGCATGACGCCATGCAATTTGAAATTGTGTGGTAGTGTGTATCAGATAATCTGCATGTAATGGAATGTCTCAGTCCCCTTTGAGGCCGTGAGAGAGGCGCTTCTGAAGCCAAGTGTTTGGGCCTCTCCGTCGCGCAGAGTTGACCGCGTCCACCCAAAATCAAATTCACACGAATGTCCTGGTCAAAATCTTTTTCTTTCACATCCATCTCCGCCAGCGCCACGAGGGATAGTGGGGAAGAATAAGGAGAGATGTTCAATCTCGATGCTCGAACCGAGCGGGTTCATCTACGGACCCCACGATCAACGGAATTCGGATGCAACGGACAAAATAATAATAAATCTGCAGAAAAAAAAAAAACTTCCAAATCATCAGCGATGTATTTCAAAATGTGCGGGCTTAGTGGAACGAGTCGTATTAGTTCTCAAAGTGACCACTTGTCGGCGGTGGCGGGCTTTTCAATTGCAAACAAAGACGGGTGTACAGTATATAAAGTACGATACATTAGCGCGTGCGCGAGAAAGTAGCTGTGAGAAATCTTTTAGTTTCGTTATTTTGATTAATATATCTACATTAAGTATATCTTTATTTATACGATATATACATATCTATAGTATTTAAATCATGATCATAACGACTGATAGTTATTATAGTGGTTTTATAACTCAAATATAATCCCTTCCAAACTACGGACAATCAATTAGTCCGTTGATGAGAGGTTTGTCTGTATTTTCGTTAAGAATAAGAATTTGTTTTTTAAAAAAACTTAAGTAAATAAAGTTGATGCAAATTATTTTTAATTTATTGAATATTGGATATAATTGACGTCTCCAAACACTTCGGAGGTGGAGAGATAAGTTTAAATATTTCATCTTTCTTATTAATGACCTATTTCTTCTTTCGGTCCAAGCAAGGCAATAAAGCAACTAAGACGCAAGGTGGGGAGGGTAACCGAGTGTGAGAGAATAACTACTATTAAGAAGAGAAGACAATAAAAGACCAACAATTAAGAAAGCAGAAAAATAACGATGGACACTGTATTTTAATTTATGAAAATCACAGTTAACTCGGAAAATGCCGGAAACAAACCGGCAAACAACAATCGCTCACATTAACTAAGTGAACAGAAAGGGGTCTAGCTTAACCAGTGATTGGGGTCCTTCA